AGCCTATGATCAAACAAAATGTTTATATTTATGTTTGTATATGATACAGTTTTATACATTTCCCCAAATTTCCAATTAATTCCCATAAATTCCCCAAAATTCCCATACATGCCCGGTAAGTTTCAAACTTGGAATATTTCCAAAATTCCCCAGACGAAGTTCCCATGGAAATTTTCCGGAAATTTCCAGGAAATTTTCCACCCCTTTGCAACCCTACTCACCACTGATGTAGAATGTCTTTGATGTGGATCCTCTGGTGCTGAGGATATTTATTTTCCACTGTCCAGAGTCTGTGTTTCTGATGTTTCTTATCTTAAGATCTCCAGTCTGATTTTCCAGCTGCAGTCTGTCTTTTAATGCCCCATCAGTATTAACCCATACTGAGATACCATTGGGGTCACGACTGACTGTAGCAATGAGAATTCCATTAAACCTCCATTCTATCTCATCATCTTCCTGTAGTTCAGTAACATCAGTGTATAGAGTGACAGAATCTCCCTCCATCACTGACACTGACGGTATTTCATCTGTATCCACAAACACACCTGAAGAACAGAGAGAAACAATGAGAGATGTAACTTAGAACACGCATAACACTCACTCACACACATATCTATCCATCTGTCTGTCTGTCTGTCTGTCTGTCTATCTTAGGGATGTACAATATTGGATTTTCGCCAATATTCCAATGTGATTTTATGACGTCAATTACTGCTTTATTTAATCAGAAACACAATCTTTATGTTATTTGGTTACTTTACTTTATTTAATTATAAGTAGGCCTACAGTGCCCCTAAATAAATAAAAGGCCTTACCAGACGGGCATTAGAATCTGGGGGAGGCTGATTTACTTTTTGTGATTTAAAACAGTCAAAAGTAAAAAAAATGACCACACTGCCGACGTCACGTGATCTTATCGCTAGCACACCCTGAGAGCATACGAGTTATTTGTCTTATCGGTAAGGTATTTCGGGATGCTCTGGATCGGCGTATACGACAGCGTGTTCCAGTTCCTGCCAATATCCAGCAACTTCGCACAGCCATTGAAGAGGAGTGGACCAACATTCCACAGGTTACAATCAACAACCTGATCAACTCTATTCGAAGGAGATGTGTTGCACTGCGTGAGGCAAATGGTGGTCACACCAGATACTGACTGGTTTTCGGGCCCCCCCCAATACTGTAAAACTGCACATTTTAGAGTGGCCTTTTATTGTGGCCAGCCTAAGGCACACCTGTGCAATAATCATTCTGTCTAATCAGCATCTTGATATGCCGCACCTGTGAGGTGGATGGATTATCTCGGCAAAGGAGAAGTGCTCACTAACACAGATTTAGACAGATTTGTGAACAATATTTGAGAGAAATAGGCCTTTTCTGTACATAGAAAAAGTCTTAGATCTTTGAGTTCAGCTCATGAAAAATGGGGGCAAAAACAAAAGTGTTGCGTTTATAATTTTGTTTAGTGTATATATATATATATATTACTGAAATACGTTAATGTATGTTGAAAGCTCCTTATAGAGTTTGTGCGTAGTTGTGTTATTCAGTCGCGATGCACCAGCATTGCTTAAAATAGAAATCGTTATGTTACGTTTCTTCCTGTTGTTTCAAAGATTAAAGGCACAATCACTTTTCCAAATATTCTGCAGTAACGTGGTAAACACTAAAATGTGGGGTTTTAATAAGACATGGATGAGTTTGTTTGATTGTTTGGTAGCCAGCACAAAAACCGTAGAATACAGCTATTCTAAGACAACACACACACACACACACACACACACCAGGGCCTGCGCCGCAGGGGGCCTATCCCGCCCCCTCAGATCACCATTAATGTTAAAAGGGATTTTAATTATAAAATGTGCTATTTAAAAATCACATTTGCCAAGTGTATTGTCTTCCTAGAGTGAATAATAAGCTAAAATAGCAATATTTTAGTTAAGGACAGTCTGTTAGGCAAGGTTGAATTTTGATTGGTCACTTGATTAAGCGTGCTCCCCCATCCTAATAAAGGTGCGTTCACGCCATATAGTAATTACCGTAATTACGAGATAACAACTTGTAAAAAGCGTTCACGTCCTCGTAGAACTTGTAAATACAACTTGTGAACTGGGAGTTTTCTGAGAGCTACGGCACGTGACCGCTGCACCTCATGCGGAACTAGAGAAAAATGGCGGTGCTTACATAGAAAGCTATTACTGCTCTAAAAAGGGGAAAATAGATACATATACAGTATAGATACTATAATGTACTATAATATAAAAACATATGATGTAAGTGTTCGTACTGTTGTTATTTTGTTGTTGTGTGTTTAGGTTAGCAATAAAACATTTATCACCATCATTAATAATAACAAACAAACGGTTAGTAATTATTTTTACCTGACACGCTTTCTGTGTTCTGCAATATTTAGCAGTTGCATACAAATGTGATGTTATGTGTTTAACAGCTGCCAGTAACATTCTTTCACGCGGTAGCTGGTTCATTTTGTTGACTGTCGCTATAGAAAAAGATAATCCCCAGTCCGAGGATGTGAACAGCACCGAGTTAAACGTCACGTGTTGTCATTTCGGAATTACGGTAATTACGACATGGCATGAATGCAGCATAACATTAAGTAAAATTTCTTGCACTATGGAGAGCAAACAAGAAAGGCTATGAACATTCCATAATTTCAAGGTTGTATATACTGCATTAACTAATTTCACCATGGACATTCTAAAAGGGATTAAAAAGAAAGAACCACAGCAACTGCTACTACCTCTGGGTCTGAGCTCCAAATAAGCAGTGTGGACATTAACAGTGCAGGCCCGCTTACGCCACTGACAAACACTCAGCAAGGACTCATTGTCACCGTCAAATGTGCCAGAGGACCTCGGTAAAGACAAGCCAGTCCAGGTTCATCTCAAAGTATGCTTTATCATACAGGGGGCATTTTACCTCACTTGTGGGGCAAAACGCCCTACAAATTTAATGTTTGTTAAAAATCGAATAACATGAAATCGCTGGACTTTTTTCATACTTATAATAATTTATAATTCATGTCAGAGCCGGCCCAAGGCATAAGCGAACTAAACGACTGCTTTGGGCCTCCGTGGCCACCAGGGGACCCCCAAGAGTACATGAAATGACAGCTTGATATTTGTGTGTGTGTGTGTGTGTGTGTGTAATATTATGTCAATGGACAATGGTAATAATACAAAAACACAATATTAAATTTTTTTTATAATCTCTAAGTATCATCGTATTACTTCCATAGCGACACATCATGTACAATAGCGCTATATGACAGATGTATCGCTTTCATTTTGTTTCTCCTTTTTTATTTAAAATATCCACAAACGTGTTTATTATATCATAAACTATATGATACAGCCTATTCTGATAGTCAAATGTGTGTAAATTAATTTGTTTTGTCGTTTAAACAACCTTAATGACCATTGTCAGATTAACATCACATAAATGCACCCTTTTCTCTCAAAATACATGACAGTAAGTGGCCAGTGAACTGGGACAAAAACAAGAGTAAACTTTATAGTTATCTACACAATGTTTATTTGATGGGAATTTTCATTGAAAGGTTTATTATTGAGCTCTTGCGCTAACATACACGCGAAACGTGCACACTCTCTCTCAGACAGCATGTGATCACGAATTCAGATCTGTTTCGTGACTTATTGCGCATGAATGGTCAAATACATGCAAAATTATGTCAAAATGCCTGTCGGGGCATATAACACAGTAGGTTTTGTGTTAAATAAACATAAACAGATGGGTGAAAACCAGATGTGTTTCTGTACATTGCATCCGTGCAGTCGGTCTTAAAAGGACAACAGCCTAATTTACCTACTGCTGTCTGTGTCACCGATGTTAATTCAACAACAAAAAACAAAGAGAAAATCACTCACTGCTTTTGACTGAAAGTCAATGAAAATGATTTAGTGGCCACGACATATTATCACATTCCCACGAGTTAATATGTGAACTGAACATGTCCCCTCCCGGTCACTGTACCTGTTATTTTTAATAACAAAAGTAGAATAAAATTATCAAGACAGGCCTACATCCTTAAAGTGGGTGGGAAGTCGTGGCATAATGGTTAGAGAGTCGGACTCGTAACCCAAAGGTTGCGGGTTCGAGTCTCGTACCGGCAGGGGGTGGAGGGGGGTGGGGGTGAATGTACAGCGCTCTCTCCCACCTTCAATACCACGACTGATGAAGTATGGGTCACCATACTTGGCCACATGTCACGTCACTTTAACGGCATGGGGTGCATCCCTAATTTTTGTGTTCCACTGCATATTAATTGTTGTTGTATACACTAGATATGTTTTTGATTTTACATTTACATTTACATTATTATATGAAATCACCTACAGTCAGCCATTGAATATTATGGGCCAAAAAAAAGTGTAATTTTCTTTCAGGTATACCTTTTTTATTATACAGATGTAATATTTTCTTCATTCTGTTTATTTGTATTTATTTATTTTCATTTAACTTACACACCTCTAAGAATGAAAATATCTGCATGTTCAATAATAAGTAATAATAATAATTCAATAATAAACAAACAATCATGGGTGTAGCCTACACATAATAATTATTTAAATAATCATATATTTTAAAAAGAATATCATTAATTTCAT